CATCACCTTCACAGAATATACAGCACAAGTAACACATAATAACGACCCAACATCGAGTCGGCATGAAACTAAACCTTGATATAGAGGTATAGGCCCGCACGCCAGAGTAACTATACGGTAATGCCTGTAGTGCACAATTAGTACATTACTGACGAGTAGATAATGGATACTCCTCAAATAGCGTAGCAAAAACTACACAATTTGAAGAGCCCAACTATGCATCCCTTTTCTTTCTAGGGAGTTATCTTTATTTCTAGAGTTCTTTAGAAAGTTTTCCCTTTTCTCTGATCTATCTGTCCATAAAAGAAGATTGATTTACTCAGTTTGATGGAAGCGCTTTAGCTTGACTGTCCACTCTATTGTAATTATCTCAATCATACTCAACTCAATCTATAGCATTTCTTTCTTCAACTGATAGAATTCGATATCTTATTTCACTAGTCCCTTGCTTCTTTCTTAGCTTAGTTGAGTAGGCTAGAAAGGAAGGAAGACCCACTTAGGGATAAATCCTATTCTATGGAAAAGCTAAAGCTGAACTCTTAGTTCTTTTTTTCTAGAGAGTAGTTCGCTAATCCATCATCATATATAAATCAGGCCTATTTTGACTATGACTATTGAAAATCTCATTATTCCACCATCCCCTATTCTAGCCTCGGGGGTTTCCAAGGGCAAATTCATTAGTTTAGGAAAAAGTAGACTGAAACCGGTAATGGAATAGAAAGAGACTTTTTCAAAAGCAAGTTAGGGATCGGTATAGACTTTAGCTATGACATCATATTAAACTCACTCTTTGGATGCTTCTCTGGCTTCCTGTCTCTATCCAAACACTCTTAAGAGCCTATCCCCCCATCTTTTCTATAGGGTATGCTTTCAATTGATTGAAGTATGTTTTTGTCCAATATGGTTTTCTACTTTTACTAACCTTTAATATCGCCTATATAAGGGCCGACAACCCATCCTTTCTGTCTGATGGTTTTTATGAGAGGTTAGAATCAGTGAATCAAGTATGAAATGAATGGTCTGTCAAGAGGGATTAGAAATCAATGTTGTTTTTGCTTCCTTTAATTAGTTGAGATTCTAAATATAGAACCACCATATTTGTTGACTTTATGTTATTAATCTTCATTATATTTGCTCCGCTAAGGTGTCTTTTGGATCTAAACATTTCTTTTCTACTCAGGATAACCTTAGGCTTTCTAACCTGAACTGCAAGTTAGAATTAATAAATAAAACAAGAGATTGAAAGTAAATTATAAATAGAAGATAAGTAGTTTTATGGTCTGATGTCAAAGGGGGGAGGAGAAGTTGAAAGCTAACAATAGAATGTGCAGGCTCAACATCTTAGAAACCTAAAACAAAAGTGAGCAATGCTGGTTGAGCCATGTGAAAAGATCTAGGGCCTAAGATGAAATTATTCTGAGAGGCCTAGTGCATTTAAATTATTTTATTTTACATTTTTACCATTCTAAATGCTACATAAAAAAATTTAAAAAATCATAATTTCAAACAAAAAGTGATATAAACAGTAAAAGTGTAACAAATGCATTTGAAATGGCTACCATCTTAAATCTACGGTTTGTGTTTTTTGTTTTAATTTCAATAGCGTAATATTTTCTTTCAAACAAAAAATGATGGTAGCAACAATTTGATTGAAAGGAAGGGAGAAATGAGAATTGTTAGATGCTAACAAAGTGATCCCCGTCCATTCTATATATTAGAGTAGTATGTTTATATTATTTCTTTTTTATGGCTAATTGATATTGGAAAATGAGAATGATAGACACAGTGAAAGAAATGCAGGATAATGAATGATTAATGAAAAGATGTAATTAATAGTAACACTTGCCAGAGGAACCCGGAGGGGGCAGCAAGTTGGTCCACTGACCCGAATTCACCTCGTATACACTCAACTGTAAATCGGGTTGGCGAAACCCTTCATCAAAGCACTGACTCATTTATCCATATCGACTCGTGCCTGAACCATGACAATGAGTCTCTGGGTATGGCAGGCGCTCCTCCATCGACGAAGAAACTCCGGCATCTCAATCTCTGCCTTCTAGTTCTTAAAAACGGACGTAACGGTAGGGAATTGATTGAATGAAACCTGAATCAAATAGTTCATATGTGAACACTGTATTTTGTGTGGGCATTTTTTAAATTCAACCAACCAAAAAAATATAAAAATACAAAAAACAAAATTTAATTCTTTTTAGGATTGTATTTGCAAAAAAAATTTAATTAATAGGGTTTTATTTCATTTTAACTTAGATAATCTTTTGTTGGTTAAGATTTTATTTCTTTTATTTCATTAAAATAACCTAAAAAGATATAAAAGTACAAAAATGAAATTGAATCCTTTTTATGATTGTATTTTCAAAATAAAAAATTTTAATTAATAGGGTTTTATTTCATTTTAACCTAGATAATTTTTGTTGGTTAAGATTTTATTTCTTTTAGTTTGTTAAAATAACCCAAAAAAATATAAAAGTACAAAAATAAAATTTAATCCTTTTTAGGATTATATTTTAAAAAAATAATAATCTAACAAAATTTAAAAATAAAAAATATATCTTGCTTAAATTTTTGAAAAATCTCTCCCAAATTAAACATAATTAAAAAAAAGGTTATGGTTTTTTTTTAAAAAAATGATATAAGCCGAAGGTTAATTGTTGGAAACTAGATCCAGCATTTAACTATTAGCTCCTAATCCTTCATTCAGACTCGCGTGCACAGAGAGAAGAGAAGAAGCAGAAACATGAGTAGAAAAGGAGACACATGAGCAGAAACTAGGGGCATAAAGGAGCAGATGAAAACATAAAAAAAGAAGAAAAGCAGAAATGCAGCCATACAAAGACACATACTCGCGTAAACGTAGAGAAAGAGCACCATACTTTTTAGTCAAAAATGAGGAAGGTAGAAAAGAAGAGAAATACAAAGAGCAAACGCACATATAGACGTAGAGAGCTAGTCTTTCAGCCACATAACATAGACGCACGAGTAAAAGAGAAACACAGAGAGCGAAGGACACAGAGGAAAATGCAAAAAAGAGACAGAGAGAGAGTAGAGAGTAGGTGTATACACAAAAAAGTTGGCCATACAAAATGCAGGGAAAGACAGAGAGAGTAGATTCACGTACACACACGTAAATGGAAACTTAGGCCATGTTTGGTAGGTTAGAATTGTGAAGATGGAAATGGAATTGGAATAGGAATCTGAATAAAGTGATGTTTGGTAGATATGAATTGTAATTCTTGAGAATCCTAATTCTATGAAAAAAGCTGAATTGGATTCCTTATGTAAATCTATGGAATTGGGAGCAATTCTATAGAATTGTAATATTTAAGACACTTTTGCCCTCATACAAATTTCAAAATGACAAATTTGCCCTAAAAAAAAAAAACCCTCACGGCCTCACCTCACTCACACATTCACGCTCGGTCGCGACAGAAGGAGAGAAAGCTGAGAGCTGTTGCAGAACGAGAGAAGGCGAGAGCTGTGGCGAGATTGAAGACGAGACAGACGACGGACGACGCGGTCTGGACTGGTATTTTGGATTTCACGACCAAGGTATGGCAATCGACTTCCCTCCTCCATTTTTTTCTTCCGTGATTTTATATCCTTTTGCCGCCTCCCCTGTTTAAGCTAGGTTTTTTTTTGGGTAAGAAAATTAAACTAATTAGCACTAAAAAAAGGAGAATAGAGAATGACGAGCTTGAAAGGAGGCGGAGAAGATTGGAAAGGTGGAGAATTTTATTGAAGGGAAGAGACATAGCCTCTGGAATTCTGGAAAAGATTGTGTTTTTGCCGTATTCATGACTTCTTACTGTAGGCTGTTGTTTCAGAAAATATTTATTATGGGACTGTCCTAATAAAAGATTGTGTTTAATTTTATCCACCGGAGACTAGCTTCACCATGATGCCTTATCACCATCTTTGAAGCTATTCGCATGTTCCTCTGATTCTGGATTTCCAATTACAGATGATGCACAGTAATTCAAATTCACCATTTTGTTTATTTTCACGATGCTATATTGTCGGCATCTTCAACTCCACCACCCAAATTTTTTTATATTGGGTGGTTTCCACTGCTTTCAGTGTGACTGCCACAAAACCATGCATCCAGAAAGTGTAGTGTACGAGAGTTTACTTCTGTGGCAAAAGTTATCTGAAAATTTTTGATCTTTGAATCTCCTTCATCTTTTTTCTTTGACTAGGTTTTGCAAATAGGCAATCCGTTTCTGGTAATATTTATTATGGGACTGTCCTAAAATTTTGTAGCACAATCTCAAGTACAATACATCTAATCAAATTGTTCTTGATCCCTTGTCCACTTTGTTGCCACCCACTGTTGGTTTATCTTTACTTGGCTAGCTCATATTTTAGTGTTTCTCCCGTTTATTTTCCTTACTTGCACATGGTCAGGATCTAATATTGAAAGGCCTATAACTAGTGGATTTTGTATCTATAATTTGTTTACAATTAGTATGACACAATGTGTGTTTAGTTTAAGATGATTTACTAGAGTTTCATGATTTTCTAGTCTATTAAATATGGGTTTTATGTTAGAATTTTATACTGTTTTTGTTGCCAATAGAATTTTATACTGTTTCTAGTCTATTAAAGTGATATTTGTTGGATGTTTTAGAATTTTTTATCCTAATATTTAAAATTTATAACCTACAGTTATGGATCCAGAAATGAGAGATGTGATAGTTCATTTGATGATTTGGTGGATGCATGTTCTTCACTCTATGTATCAATGTTTCTTTGCCATTTGTACCACTATAGCCTTGCGTAGGAATCGTATTAGTCAAAGGCCATATACAGTAGACTTCTATGCTAATAGAGTCCACTTACGGAACTTGGTGTATAACAGTGACATTACTTGTTATAACCAGCTTAGAATGAATAGAGCCACATTCGACAAGCTATGTCTTATGCTTGGTGTTATAGGAGGTTTGAAACCAACCAAAAACATGCTAGTTGATGAGCAAGTGGCAATGTTCTTGCATATCCTTGCACATCATTTAAAAAATAGAGTTATACGATTTTATTTTGGGAGGTCTGGTGAAACTATTAGTAGGTATTTTAATTTGGTCTTAACCTCTATGATGAAATTAAATCGAGAGCTTCTAAAGAAACCTGAGCCAATTGCTGAGGATTCAATGGACGAAAAATGGAGGTGGTTTAAGGTAATCTCATATCTTAATTCACAATTTTTATTAATGATATAATTTACTTGTTCTTTTAATTAATTATTTGCCATTTTCAGCATTGTTTAGGTGCTCTTGATGGAACCCATATTAAAGTGAAGGTGCCTATGGCTGACAAAGCGAGATATAGAAATCGAAAGGGGGAAATAACTACTAATGTGTTGGGAGTTTGCTCTCCGAATGGACAATTCATATATGTCTTAACGGGTTGGGAAGGCTCAGCGGCTGATGGTAGAGTTTTGCGAGATGCTATTAGTCGTAGGAATGGTTTGAAAGTGACTCAAGGTAATGTTAATTTATTTTTTAGTAATGATCAATGTAGTAATGAGCTTAAAGTTAATTTCTTTTATTCTTGTAGGCCAATATTACTTGGTTGATGCGGGTATACAAATTGTGAAGGATTTCTTGCCCCATTTCGAGGTCAGCGATACCACTTAAGTGAGTGGAGGGATGGACGGCAACCTTTAACTCCACGTGAATGCTTCAACATGAGGCATTCATCTGCGCGTAATGTTATTGAACGATGTTTCGGAATGTTAAAACTACGATGGGCTATTCTTAGGAGTTCTTCATTTTACCCCGCTCAAGTCCATAATCGGGTTATCATAGCGTGTTGTCTCCTTCATAATTTGATCCGTCGATAAGGAGATGATCCACTAGATATTGACATAGAGGCATTGGAGACAAATACCAATGATATGGAGATACCTTACATTCAAACAATTGAGACATCAAATGCATGGGCTAACTTTCGTGATACCTTGGCAAATGAAATGTTTGTTAAACTTATGAGTCATAGGGGTAGTATGTGAGCATTAGAAGAGACACCTAAACCTAGATGTGACTTGAATTCTAGTTGAAAATTTGTGGATGTATGTTTTGTGTAATGACAACATTATGAATGGTTTTATTAAGTGATGTTTGCCTTCTTTGCAATATTGTGATGTATGATATTTTATCTTCATAGCAATTGATTGTGTTATGATATGTTAAAACTAATGATAATTTTTGCTGTTTAAGTAAGATCATGACAGGTGGCGATTCTACAAAGTCAACCCATCATGTTTGGACACCTGAAGAAGACTCTCTTCTTGTGCAATCCTTGCTTCAGCTTCATGATGATGGGACCTTGGTTGCAGATAATGGGTTTAAGGCTGGAGGTTTAAAGAAGTTGCAAAGAATGATAGAGGAGAAGTCACCTGGATGCGGGATACTAGCTGTACCTCACATTCAATCTCATTTGAAGACCTTGAAGACTAGTTGGCAGGTCATATATGATATGTTATATGGCTCAAACACATCTGGATTTGGTTGGGACCCCGACAAACAATGTGTCACAGCAGACAAGGAAGTGTGGGATGAGTATGTTAAGGTAAAACTTTACTAGAAAAATATTTTTTATATCAGCTTTTATACTTATAATAAATATTGATGCAGATTTGAGTGTGTAAGCTTACTAGCTGTTGATATTTTTATGTGATTTTGTGTTTGTAGAGCCATAAAAAAGCTGCTCATTTCAAGAACAAACCCTTTCCTCTCTTTGATGCACTATGCTCTATATTTGGAAAAGATAGAGCTGTAGGAAAAGGGTCACTTTCAAGCAATGATGTGCATGAGGTTGAAGCTGATACAGAGTTTGATACAATAGCTACTAATGTTGATGAAGATACTATGGATATTGGACTAGAGATGGATCCATCAATTACATTCTCAGACCATCCATCAGAAAACACAAATGTTGGCACTTCTAAGTCTAAGAAAAGGAAAAGAACTAGTCAAGATCGTGATGAGTTTTTGACTGAGGCACTTAAAGAGATGTTAGCAGCTACTTCCAAGACATCAAGGATTCCTCTGCCCAATTAGGAGCTCGTTTAGACAAGTTGGCTCGAGAAGCAATGTTAGATGCACGAAGAGAGGCTCTATATGATGAGTTGTTGAAGGTTGAAGATCTTACTGACAATGAGCGCACTGATGCATATCTTAAAATGATAGGTGATGATAAAATTCTTGTGGATTTCCTAACCTACCAGATAAGGCTAAGGCAGCTGTGGTTCGTAAAATACTTTATGCATAAATGCGTTATGTGTAAGTCATATATGCTGCTTCTTTTTGGGTATTATAGTGTAGCTAAGTCTATATTGTAAACCATGATAGATATATTTTTTTTGGCTCTGTCATGGTTGGTAGCCTTTTTGATTACATAGTTGTGGCTGCCTTATATATAGGAAGTCTGATTGTAAAGTGCTCAAGTCTACTTCTTTAGTTCATTTTTTGGTTTTGCCATGGTAGGTAAATTGTGCATTGGAAGATATGGCAAAAAAATTGAGTCAGACATTTTGTACAAATGCTACTTATGTGATAAATAGTTAACTTCATCCTTAGTGATGTGAAGAGGTGGAAAGGCATGAATCTTTCTAGTTACATTTTCTCTAGCCAAATTCATGAGTCTGTTCAATTTGCTAGCTTTTTTTTTCTGATCTACTCAAATTCACAGTCATTTCTTATGGAGTTATAGAATGAATTCAACTCCCAAGGTCTATATTTTTCAAGCATGGTTGAAACAATATTGGTCTAGATTTGAGATCCTGCTAAACTGAATATGGAAATAGAAAATGCTATCATATGCTAGCAAAAAAAAGAAAAAGGGAGTATAAAAGGTTGAATGATATTTTTGCTCATTATATATAAAACGTTATAATATATATATATATATAAGATAGTATTATATATAATATTTGTATATAATTTATATATTTATAATATTTTTTTGGTATAAGAAGTAGAATTGATTTGTTTGACATTTTTTTTCTAAATCTACGTGTTAGTGTATTTATTTTAAAGTAGAAGGGATAGGAACCATTGCCAATTTTATTTCCAAGAAAATGTTTCCTCTGATGATAAAACTTTTTGTTTGGCCCAAGCTAATGAATAATAGTTACAAATATAATCTATGATTTATATAATATTTCATTAATATATAAAATACATAAGAAAATTGATACACAATTAAGTTTTTATTATGTTTTATTTTAATTTTTATATAGGGGTATTTTTGTCTTTTAAGTATAATTCCATTTCCATGTCTTGCATACCAAACAAAAGTAATGCAAGGATTCCATCTAATTTTTCTGACATACCAAACATACTTTTATAATTCAATTCTATTCCAATTCTGATTCCAATTCCAATTCTAATTCCATCAAAAACTATTCAATCATACCAAACGGGGCCTTAGAGAAAAGAAGAAGGAGACGTGCACGGCAAGAGGAAGAGGGAGCTTCAGTGATAAAATAGAGCACTCATGCAAAGAGAAAGGAGACGACGACGAGGGAGAAAAGAGGGGGGCTGGAGAAGTTTCTCTACATACAACGAAGGCTACATCTTGCATGTAGAAAAGATCAGCATTTTAGTTCAAAAGCGGGACTTGGGCGCCAACTGTGAGTTGAACATTCAAACTCTGCTTTTGGTTATTAGATCTCCCTTATCTTTCATTCCTTCTACACATTTCTTTGGGTACGCCAGAGTTGTTCCCATCACTGCAAGAAGTTTGATTTACTAGTTCTTTCTCCCTTCTCTGCTATGCTATTGGTATACTCTACTCATTTTTGTATTGTCTCATCCCTGTTCTAATTCTTGCAATAGATATGTGTGTAGGTTTTTGTTATGAAACTAATCCTTGATAGTAATTCCTTGTATTTGAAATAAGGAGATTTGGAAGTTTTGAAGTTTAAGTATGGATAAGGAATATTTAGGAAGATATTTGAAGAGGAAGTAGCTTTGTATCATTATGTTTTCTTCCTCTAAGTTATGTTGCACATCTTAAATATGCTCTAACACGTGTTTATTTGCTTCCACAAATGAGGTTGATTTAGTTATAATACTTTCCCATGATGTTTTTGATTCTAATATTTGAAAAATTTTTGTTAAGCTAAGTGATACATTAGATTCAAGTTTATCTTTTAGCATGAAGGAGTATTGATCAACCAAAGTTTGATTTCTATTTCTTTGTTTCTTAAAGTCATATACTATTTTGCGTTTAATTTCAATTTGAGATTAATTGAGTGATTATTGAAGATAATTTTGATTTTAAATGACATCATTTTCATATGGAGATTTTAAATGTGTGGTTAAATGAACAAGTTTGTTCTTATTATTTCCCAAATATAATCAATTAAAACATTTGAATAGTATCGTGAGAGATTTAAAGAATCTCTATAAATATTCAGCTTAATTGCCTGATTGTGAAGGATAAAAGTCCTCGCACATGTTGTGGTTATTAATTTATATAATAAGTAAATAAATGGATATTGTAAATAATAATATAATAAATACTTGGTTTTTTAATTATTAATTAATTAAGTTAATGTATTTAAATCATAATCATACTTAGATGGTTAGATCCTCTTGTCACATGAGATTAAAAAAAAATCTCCGCAAACATTTAGGATGATTATTTTATCATATAAGTCAATAAGATTCTACTGGTATAACGATTATGATTTTTATCATTCTTTTTCTCATGAGTGATAAAAGTCCTTGTTGGCACATTGAATAAATTTTTAATATATAAAAAATATTAAAATAAAAATATTGTGTAAATAATCTAAGATTTCATATTGTAACGAAAATATAAAATTTTAAAGGGCATTAAGGTCATTTGAATGTCCACAAGTGACAATAAGTCTCCGTAGGCATATTAGAAACTTTTTCTTTTAAATTACTTTTCTATGTTGACAAAGTGAATATTTAAAATAAGAGAAAGTATAACAATAAAAACAATTTGAAAATATAAAATGGGAGTAAGAAAGTAAAACTAAATTATCTTTGCAAATTAAAACACAGCACATCTTCGAAAATTGTTTTGTGTGCAATTGGTAAGTTATTTTCGTTTAAACTTCTCTTTTTATGAAAATTATAAATAAAGAAAACCATTGACACTAGTTTTTATCTCGAACTACGTGGACTTCAATCCCTATCGCAGGATACGTAGGCCTCAGAGCCTGATTCTGAATCAAGTCCTCTCTTGTAAATAAATAAATATTTCTCACTTAATTATTATCATTTTTATTTAACACATGAATAAGAAAGGGATAATTAAAATAACTTTAAAACCATATTAATTTAGCACAACAAACTTCAGGTAACCATTCTTACGAACGCGTGTTGTGGGGTGCCTAATACCTTCCCTATACTCAATCAACTTTCGAACCTATTTTCTATTTTGCAAACCATTCTTACCTCCTTTAAACGATTTTCCAAGATTTTCCTCAAGTTGGTGGCAACTCCCATTTCTTCAATCTTCTTTTCGAAGGTCGGAACCTCCACTTTCGTGCGTTTACATCGCATTTTTGGGTGCAACAGTTGGCGACTCCACTAGGGATGGTTAGAGAGTCAGGCCTATATAAGTTTATTGTGCTCAAAATATAATATGATTATTATCCTTTTTTAATTTGTGTGTGCTTTCCCCCATTTTTTTCCTTCTCTCTTTTCATTTTTTATAACATGTCTTAAGATAAATCACATGTGGAATAAATCCTAAGATAGAATACTTTTATTTGTACATATATTTATTTCTAATTGGTAGATGAGGGATGGGTAACATTAGGAATAAGATGACAAGCTTACTTGCTCTCTTCACACATTGAACACTTACACATTTACCCTCACATGCATAATGGGCCTTATACTTGGGTCTAAGGGTTCCTTAGGTTAGCAGATGTTGGTAATGGTTTTTCTAAGAAATGTTCATGTTCTTGGAGGTTACTATGAAAACTTCTCCCCAGTTGCTACTTATTTATTAAATTTAGTCCCTGAAGGGTTGAAAATCTCTCGGAGGAATAAATTTATTAAATGGGGTTTTCATGTTCACGGTGGAAGCAGCTTGGTTGCCCATGTTAGGATCATTAGATCAACTTAAGAACTTTGCATATAATAAATCAAGCCTACTAATATCCCTATAATATGTTAATGAGTACTCCTAAGATATTCCGACTAAAGATAATACTTGGCGTAAGACAAAGGAGAACTTTATTTTTCTTCCACGTCATTTCTCTAAATAAAGAATAGATAGCAAATTTATTAATTTTTCTTTTATGGGTATTTAATGTCATCAATATTAAAATACACTATTTGGATTATAAATATCTCATAAAAGCCATCAATGAGAAAAGAAATACATCTCTCTTAATTGATTGGCATTTTCCTTAAGGAGTAATAAGGTATCAGAGGAGTGAGTAAAATTGTTAATGAGTTAGTATTAATTAATAGAGTATTAGACTTACAAAAAAAAATTTAACTACAATTATGGAAAGACTCCATCTCTTATGAAATAAACTCTAGCTTTTACTCCCCTGAAATTCAATAAGGATTTGGAGGGATAGAAACTATAATTAAATTCAACAAGTTTTCTCCTCTAAAATTATATTTGTGACATCATTTCTTTTCCTTTCTTTTCCTTTTGTTTTTTTCTCTCATTTTAATAGGAAATAAAGTAGATTGTTAAGAAAACTTAGCATACAATTGAAAGGTACAATGAATGCCATGGATGTAATTCCATCGGGAGTAGTGTATAGAGGCAAAGGGATAAAGTTGGAGGTGATGATGGAAACATTAGACAACTTGAGGGAACTTGCTCGACACATCAAAAGGAATTTATTATCTGATTTTAGGAAGAAATATGGGGATCTTTTGAACTTGCTTTATGCACCAGTTCAAACTGATGCAATGGTTGTTTTGGGACAGTATTGAGATGATACATTGAGATGTTTCACATTCCCAAACTTTCAACTCGCTCCTACAATAAAGGAATATGGTGCTTTCTTGGGGATGCCTCTTGAGGAGGGGGATCAAGTCTATAAGTACCC